TGTCAATAAAAGTTCCTCTAAACAGTATGTGTCTTCATACAATATTGTTTGGGGTTACATGTGTTTCTTAATTTTTTATAAAAGATAAAATGCACATCACAAAATTTCACCTCTTTTTTCAGCTTTGTAGAGGTAAAATCGACAAAATTGTAAGATATTTAAAGCATACAAAGTGATGATTTGTTATGCATATACATTGTGAAATGATCCCCCTGCCACTGAGTTAATTCACACATCCGTCCCTTTATATATTTACCTTTTTTTGATGGGAAATTTAAGTTCTCTTAGAAAATGTCCATTATACAATATGATGTTATCAACTATACTCATCATGTTATACATTGGGTCCTCAGAACTTATCTTATAACTGAGTTTGTACCCTTTACCTACCTCTCCCTATTTCTCCCCACCCCCAACCCCTGGCAACCACTTTTCTACTCTGCTTCTAGGAGTCTTTTTTTTTTTTTTTCCTTTTCTTTTTAAGATTTTATTTATTTTTGAGAGAGAGCACGAGCAGAGGGAAAAGTGGGCTTCCCGCTGAGCAGGGAGCCAGATGCGGGACTTGATACCAGGACCTTGGGGTCATGACCCGAGCCGAAGGCAGATGCTTAACAGACTGAGCCACCAAGTCACCCAACTTTTCTTTTTTTAGATTCCATATATGGTGCCACACAGTATTTGTCCTTTTCTGACCAGCTGATTTCACTTAACATAATGCCCTTGTTTCATCCATGTTGTTGCAAATGGCAATTTCCTTTTCTAAGGCTGAAAGATACTTACATGCGCGCGTATTTGTTTTCTTTATCCGTTCATCTGTTGATGAATAATGATGATAATACCTTGGCTATCATGAATAATGCTGCAAAACTTCATTTTTTTGAAGTGTACAATTTAGTGGTTTTAGTATAGTCACAAAGATGTGCAACTATCACCACAATATAATTTAAGAATATTTTTCATCTCCCCCAAAATAAATTCCATACCTATTAGCCATCACTTCCGACTCCTCCCTTCCCCATCCATATAGCCACTAATCTATTTTCTGTCTCTGGACATTTCATATAAATAGAGCGCCCCTAGGTGGCTCAGTCAGTTAAGTGTCTGTCTTGGGCTCAGGTCATGATCCTGAGTTCCGGGATGGAGTCCTGTGTCAGGGCATCTGCTTCTCCCTCTGCCCCTCACCCCACTTGTGCTGTCTCCCAAATAAATATAATCTTAAAAAAAAAAAGAATCATACAATGAATGGTCTTTTGTGTCTGTTTTCTTTCAGTTAGCCTAATGTTTTCAAGATCTGTATTTATGTTGTAGCATGTATCAGTAGTTCATTCCTTTTTATGGCTGAATAATATTCCATTGTATGGATATACCACATCATAGCCATTCATTGTTTGATGGACATTGGATTGTTTCTTCTTTGGGCTATTATGAATAATGCTGCTATGAACATTTTGTGTACAAGGTTTTGTGTGGATGTATGTTTTCAGTTCTTTTTGGTATACCTGTGAGTGACAGGTGAGTGACATGGCAACTCTGTTTATCATCTTAAAGAACTGCTGAACTGTTTCCTGAAGTGGCCCCACCACTTTACATCCCCACTGGCAATGTGTGAGAGTAAACTGGTCAAATTGATTTTTCACCTCTTTGTCATCACTTGTTATTGCCTATCTTTTTTATAACAACTGGTTACAAAAATCCTACTGGTTCCTCTTAATTTTTCTTAAATGGAGTTTGTTTTTTTGCTTCTTATGCCCTATGTTGTTTTGGATGATTTTCTAAATGAGAAGGCAGAATTCTCACCCCCTTAAAATTAGAAGCTCTGTAAATCTTGTTAAATTTTTTCAGTCGGGCTGATAATATGCTATCAGTGGTGATGTCCTGCCCGGTTCATCTGGAAATGTCCACAGGATGTTGACTGTCACTTTACTATTTTTTTTTTTTTTGAAGATTTTATTTATTCATTTGAGACACAGAGATAGAGAGAGAGAGAGAAAGCATGAGCAGGGAGAGAGGCAGAGGGAGAGGGAGAAGCAGGCTCCTCGCTGAGCCAGGAGCCCGATGTGGGGCTCGATCCCAGACCCTGGGATCATGACCTGAGCGATTTGAGCCACCCAGGCGCCCCTGTCACTTTACTATTGAAATTGCACTGAAAAAATTATATTCTTGGAACATACACAAGTTCACAGAACATAAACTCAGAATACTTGAATTGTGGAATATTACATGCTGGCAAAAATGACTTTTTTTGATGCAATGAATTATATCATATCAAGTCCACTTAGCCAGTTGGCAGTAGTTCTGGATTATGCTGTTAGCATCAGGCTAAAACCCTGTGGCAAGTATTTTAATGAGTTAATCTTCTGAAACTAATAATACACTATATGTTAATGAACTGAATTTAAATAAAATTAAAAAAATAAATGAATTAATCTGAAATACTGTATTAAAAAGAGCACTCTTTAATACTTTATTACAAAATGCATAATTGTGCTAGATTGATAGATGTATTTAAAAACTTTCCCAAGCTCTAGCAATAACTAAAAACTGTAATGGAAAAAAATCCTTGGTATGTCTGGGTGGCTCAGTCGGTTATGCCATTGCCTTTGGCTCAGGCCATGATCTCAGGGGTCCTGGGATCAAGCCCCACATCAGGCTCCCTGCTCAGCAGGGAGTCTGCTTCTCCCCGTCCCTCTGCCCCTCCCCCCGCTTGTGAGCACTCTCTCTGTCTCTCTCAAATAAATAAATAAAATCTTTTAAAAAACCCTCTTGACATTAGTGGCAAATTAACAAAACACAAATCTTTGTGTTTTGAGTGGGTACGTCTAGATATGGAACCAAGTACCTATGAATAGAAAACATAGTAAAAGATGTATTTCAAGTCAATAAAGGAAAGATGGATTCCATAAATGATGTAGGAAAAACTGGCTCGTAACTTGGAAAAAACAAAGACCGATACCTATCTTACTATTGGGACCAAAATAAATTTGAGAAAGAGATATAGAGGGGAGTGGGGGAAACATGAAGACCTGTGTTCTTCCTGTCTCCTCTGAATTTGAAAATATTATTGCCCACTTGGTATGTACCAAGTATGTACCGTGTGGTTGTGGATCTCACAGACTTTGGCCTTACCTTGGCTGTTTATTATCTGTCTTTCTCCCTCTGAGTAAGTCAGGAGTCTATAGGAATTTGGTAGCCAGCAAGCTCCTGTCTTGTGGCCTACTTTTGTACTGGACATACTTTTTCTTCTTTTAAAAATTAACTGTATTGAGATAGAATTTACATATAATAAGATGCACATTTAAATGTACCGCTTTATGAGTTCTGACAATGTCTCCCCTGACCTCACCCCAACAGAACACTGAAATTACCCCGGAAAATTCTCTCTTGCTCCTTTGCAGTCAATCTCAATCCCCTATTCTCTGCTCTGATACAGATCTAATGTAACGGCTAAAACTGTAAAACTTACATAATAAAATATGGGAGAAAAATTTCATGACCTTGAACTAGGCAAAGATTTATTAGGTGAGACACTAAAATCAGTAACTGTAAAAGAAAAAAAGATAAGTATTATCAAAATTAAAAATAAATGCTCTTGAGGTGCCTGGGTGGCTCAGTCGGTTAAGCATCCAACTCTTGATTTTGGCTCAGGTCATGATCTCAGGGTTGTAGGATCTAGCCCGGGGCTCTGTGCTCAGCAGGGAGTCTGCCTGAAGAGTCTCTCCCTCTGCCCCTCCCCCCACTCGTGCTCACGTGCACTCGAGGCCTCTCTCAAATAAATCTTAAAATAAAAATAAAATAAATGCTCTTGACTATCAGTTTCTGGACAAGCATGTGTTGCATTTGGAAGTCATCACTCTGTCCCAACAAGAAATAAGTTGAGGAAACTGAAAGATAACTCTTTTTAGATACAGCAGAGAACTGAGATCACAAACGGCTGCCCCCAAAGTTGAAGAGTCAGACAGGCAGATACAGAGACTCGTGCTATTGAAGTTGAAGCCCAAGAGCCCAAGAGCTGAAATCTCCATGGGCACCAGTAGCATCCATGGTAGGAAAACAAACTGTAAGCGATGAATTGCTGGAGGCTCACTCTGGATGTCTTTGAGTTAAAAACACCAGAGGCGCCCACCTTGGGTGAGGATACCCCCACACTTTCCTGAGTTTTCTCCCATACATATGTTTTACATTCCCCATACGGAATGGGGACCCAGAAGGGCAGGGACTTTTATTTTTTTAATTGCATTTTTAATAGTGGATAACTTATAAGATTTAGAACTTAGAATTCAAAAAGTACAAAAGTACAAAAGGTTATGCAGTGTAAAGTTTCTTTCTTATTCCTGCCCTTCAGGCACTCCTCAGTTCTCTGGCCTGGAGACAAATCATATGTTTATTACATTCCTCCAGAGGTTTCTCACACATACACTTTCTTCTCCCATATTTTCACGGTGGTCTGATTTAATCCCTACTCTATTTGGAGGCAGAATTGATCAACAGATTTGACATCTTCATAATTCTAAATCTTCCTGTCCAAAATCATGGTACCTTTCTAAATGTTCCAGTCTTTTGCGTTCCTGAGTAGTGCCTTAAAGCTAGAAAGTGTTCATGAGGCACCTGGTTGCCTCAGTTGGTGGAGCATCTGACTCGATCTAGGGGTCATGAGTTCAAGCCCCATGCTGGGTGCAGAGATTACTAAAAAATAAATAAATAAATAAAGCTTGAAAGTGTTCCTCATATAATCTCACACATTTTTGTAGGCTCATATTCCCATGTGTTATCTATTTGCAGCTGTTGTGAACAATAAATCCCTTCCATGGACTGGGATGTTAGAAGGCTGCTGTGGAGGAGCAGTGTGGGCTGCCCGAGACCCCTGTACATTAGCAATGATTATTTCTTCTCATGTAATCATAAGCAATAAGGGTGGTAACCTTATGACTTCAAATTCACTGATTTCTGCAAGAAGGTAGCTAATACTGTGTACCTAATATAGACCAGGCCTTATGCTGGCGTTTTTGTTTCGTTTTGAAGATTTAATGATTTTTTATTTTGGAGAGAGAGAGCACATGTGTGGTGAGAGGAAAAGGAGAGAGGGAGAGGGAGGGAGTCCCAAGTGGACTCCCCGCTGAGCACGGAGCCTGATGCCGGGCTGGATACTACAACCCTGAGATCACGACTTGAGCCGAAATCAAGTCAGATGCTTAGCCAGCTGAGCCACCCAGGTGCCCCTATGCTGGTGTTTTAAATAAATTTATAATATGTATATAAAGCAGATGGTACTCTCCTCACTTTACAGATCAGGAAAAAAAAAAAAAAATCAGAACTCCAAAGTCACAGAAGCAGTAAACTTTTGGACTCCAAACCATTATTTTGCACCACAACCCAGGAGCTGTAGTAGGGAGTGAGGTGACTGGCCATTGTTCACTATGAAATTTTCACTCTCTGTTCTAATTACATACCACTTAGATGTGTTTTATTAGGGAGATCAAACTCATCACAATGACTATTTCTTAGATGATGAAAGTAGTATACATTTTTACTAAATGGTTAAGAAGAAATTAAGTAATTATCCAAATGATTTCTAGATTCCATGTGTCATTTTTTTCATACTTTCACTATTGTTTTTCCCAAATTATCTCCTTTCAGCATTCCCATGAATGCAGCTGGCATGTTTTCAAATCCTTCAGTGATGTATTCATGGTACTGGATTTTACCCTGTATCAGAATGACAACAAATATAACAGATTAATTTCATATTCTAAATGATATACTCTTCTCATCATAGCAACAAATTTATCAGGTACACTATGGGAAACCTGGAAATCTAAGATGGAGGCCCTGTCCTCCGTGAACTTATAGTCAACCTCGGGGCATGGTCCACAAAGTACAGATAGAATGTTGATAATAGGTGTTAGATCACAGTATAATAATAGGAGAAATGTCACAGGAAGCGATCAAGCAATTTCTAAGTAAATTATATGGAAAAGTTTAGTAATGTAATGATCTCAGAAGAGATGGAAGAAGATGGAGAAAGGGGCCCCCTTGCAGGGTATTATCTGTTTTAATCCTTCCAGTAGCTTCATGACGTAGCATCATTACCTCTTTGACCCCTGAAGAGGCAGAGCCTGTTCAGCAAATGTAAATACAATGGCAGTCTAATAGTTTGTCCTCGAATCAAGTCCAGGTTCTTTCAATATATGTTGAACATTCACTTAGGAGTGCGGGAGGGAAGGGTTCATTTAGTGAGGGTTTTTCATTTTTCTTTCTACTTCAAGGCAGTCTACTAAGTGGAACTAATTTACATTTTCAAGGTTTTTTAAAAGGGGTCTTATGTGGAGACAGGAGTTACCTGATACCACTTACTTTCTTAATGTATTCCAGTGATGGCTTAGCACCCGGTATAGATTTATGGAGGGACTATTTGCCTGGGGGTGGGGGTCACTCAACAAATTAGTATGCATAGGAGCTGGGATTTGAACTCTTGACTAGAAAGCCCCAGCTCTTTCCTGTTCTTAAAGAGGCAAAGAACCTGGAAAGGGGTTAAAAGCTGTAACCCAAAGTTTAAAAGTTCAAAGTTGAAGATGAATACTAACATAAAAATGTTGATAATATGGTAAATTAAGGTACAGCATACAGGTCATATGGAAACTCTTTGTACTAACTTTGTGAATTTTCTGTAAATCAAAAAATATTCTAAAAGAAAAGTGTATTTTTCAGAAGGGGAAGAGATGAGAAAAAAAAATAAGTAGACGAGAGAGAAACTAGGCCAATTCACTAGTTACTGAAAACAAAACTGTCATTAGGTCCACTCTGTTAGAAGGAGGCATTCGGGACCCCAGCACAGTGGCTTCTTGTCGTCAGCTGTGATTGTGGGAGGGCTAGATCCAATTTCAACAACAGGGACAAAGAGGCTCCACAGTGGGAACTTAAAATCATTCAGCTCTTCTCAGCTTCCTGGAAAGAGCCCAGCTCAGCACTCCAAGAGTTGGACTGGGAAAAACACCAAGCTCCAACGGCTGCCAGAGGAGCAATTTATTTCTTTGAATTGGGAAATGATGATAAAGCCAGGAGTTTAGAAGTGTGATACCACTTTTTCCCTCTAAAACTAAAATAATGCCCCTGGGTAACCCTGAATAACCACGTGGTGTAAGGTGGGAAAGTATCACAGCACAGGACAAGGGGATGGGCTTCTTCCCGTGGATCTAAGGCCATGGCTCTAAGAAGACACCAACCTAGGGCCTGGAAGAGCCATGGCACGAATATATGCCCCTCCAGCATGTACTCAATGATACTCATCTAGTGTTTATGTTGGCTCAGACACTATTCTAGATGCTGAGGGTACATCAGAAAACAAAACGCACGGAATGTTACTGCCTTCATGGAGGTTACATTCTCACAGGAGGGAGATGGGCAATAAATATAAGTGAATTATGTTAAAAGGTGATAACTGCTGAGGATAAAAGTAAGATAAGGAGGACCAAGAATGAAGGGGGATTGCAGGCATGCCTGTGTGGCTCAGTCGGTTAAGCATCAGACTCTTGGTTTCTGCTCAGGTCGTGAGCTTGGGGTTGTGATCTCAGGGTCATGGGATCGAGTCCCTCAACGGGCTCCACACTGAGTGTAGAGGCTGCTTGTCCGCTCCCCACCTTCCCCTGGCTTGCATGCACACGCACTCACATGCATGTTCTCTCTCTCCCAAAATAAATAAATAAAATCTTTAAAAAAAAGAATGAAGGGCGCCTGGGTGGCTCAGTTGGTTAAGCGACTGCCTTCGGCTCAGGTCATGATCCTGGAGTCCCTGGATCGAGTCCCGCATCGGGCTCCCTGCTCGGCAGGGAGTCTGCTTCTCCCTCTGACCCTCCCCCCTCTCATGTGCTCTCTCTCAAATAAATAAATAAAATCTTTAAAAAAAAAAAAAAAAAAAAGATGAAAAAAAAAAAAAGAATGAAGAGGGATTGCAATTTAAAATAGGGCCATTTGGGGGCACTTGGGTGGCTCAGTTGGTTAAGCAACTGCCTTCGGCTCAGGTCATGATCCTGGAGTCCCGGGATCGAGTCCCACATCGGGCTCCCTGCTCAGGAGGGAGTCTGCTTCTCCCTCTGACCCTCCTCTCTCTCATGCTGTCTCTCATTCTCTCTCTCTCAAATAAATAAAATCTTAAAAAAAAAAAATTAAAATAAAATAAAATAAAATAAAATAGGGCCATTTTAAAAGTTGCTTCATTCAAAAGGTAGTTTTTAACAAAGTCTTACAGGGAATGAGTGAATTAAGGAAGCAGTTACAGAGGGACAGAGGGAAGTGGGGAGGGACTGGGCAGAGCAAGGGGGTGAACACTAAGAAATGAAATTAGAGAGGTAATGGAGGTCAGATCATGTACAGCCTTATAAGTTGTTTTTTTTTTTTAAAGATTTTATTTATTCATTTGAGACACAGAGATACAGAGAGAGAGAGAGCATGAGCAGTGGGAGAGGCAGAGAGAGAGGGAGAAGCAGACTCCCCGCTGAGCCAGGAGCCTGATGCGGGACTCGATCCCAGGACCCTGGGATCATGACCTGAGCTGAAGGCAGACGCTTAACCATCTGAGCCACCCAGGCACCCCAGCCTTATAAGTTTTATTCTATGTGAAATGGGGGAGTTTTGCAGGGATTTGAGCTGAAGAATTACATGGTTTGATTTATGCTTTAAAAGATCACTCTGGCAGCTGTTTTGGGAATGGTCTGTTGGGGCATAAAGTCAGGAGGTCAGACAGGGTCTCCTGCAACATCCAGGCTAGACCAGATGGCAGTCTGGACCAGGGTGGTAGCAGCGGAGGTGGGAGAGCTGCTCAGATTCTGTGGGTAGTTTGAAGGTTGAGATACCAGAATTTCCCAACAGATGAGATGTGGGTAGGAGAGAAAGAAAGGAATCAAAGATGATTTCAAGGTTTTTGGATTGAGCAACTAGAGGATAGAATTGCCGTAACTGAGATGGTGAGGTCTGTATATGGAATGGGTTTGGCAGGAAAGATCAAGACATATTTAGTTTTTGACGTGTTGAGTCAAAGATGTGTATTACACATCCAAGTGCAGCTGTTGAGCGGCCGAATGCCCAGGGGAGAGACCCAGGCTGGAGACAGACATTTAGGAGCTGTCAGCATGTGGAGGATATTTAAAGCCAAGAGCCTGACTGAGCTAAGTAAGGGATAGGCAGACTTGGGTAGAGAAGAAAGGAAGCCCAGTGAGCCCACTCCTGTCCCTTGGGACACTCTATTATTAATTTAGAGAGCAGAAAAGAAGCTGGCAGAGGAGATTCTCTGAGGAGGACAAATCTGCGAGGAAAACCAAGAGCCACGGGAAGAAAGTGTACCGAGGAGAGCGTGATCACCTCTATCCGATACTCGCCACAGCCAATCAAAGCCAAGAACTGACCCCTGCAGTTCACAGCAGGAGGACATCGTCAACCTTGACAAAGGCAATTTGGTAGAATGGCAAGAGTGTAAAAGCCTGATATGTGGGTTTGAGAAAGAATGGAAAAAGAGGAACTGCAGACGGTGCGTGTAAACAACTCTGGGATTTTGTTCTAGAAGGGGGAGCTGTGAGATGCACCTGTATTTGCAGTGCAGGTGAAACCTATAGTGTGGAGAGGGAATGCGATCTCGTGTGCAACGGGGACAGGGGCTCTGGAGCCTATTACCTCTACGACCCATTTCAGCAAGTCTTTCAGAGCCTTCTGGCAGACCTCTCCTTGCCAGTGGGTGACGATGAACCCTTCCATGCGGAGCTGCTGATAGATAATATTCTCTGGGGGTGGGCCTGTGAACAGGAGGACACATTTAGGTGACAGGGTCCAGGGAGGTGGCCGTGGTGAAAACACAAGCAGTACAAGTCACGTCACTGTTCTAGATTTCTCCACTCGTTTCTGATCCATAGGGCTGTCCACAAATCAACATGGCCTCTGTGGTAGGCAGAATCTTGGTCCCCAAAGATGGCCGTATCTGAACTCCCAGAACCTGTGAATGTCTTTCCTTACGTGGCAAAAGGGACTTTTCAGGTATGATCAAGTTAAGAGCCTTTAGCTGAAGAGATTATTGTGTATTATTCAGGTGGGCCCAATATAATGACAAGGGCCCTTGTAAGGAGGCAGAAAAGTCAGAGGCAGGAAAAAATGTGTGATGATGGAAGCACAGATCAGAGTGAGAGAGAGAGAGACACTGGAAGACCCTGCTGCTGGCTTTGTGGATGGAGGAAGAGACACGAGCCAGGGGATGCAGGCAGCCTCTAGAAGCTGAAAAAGGCAAGTTAACAGCTTCTCCTCTTGAGCCTTCAGCAAGAATTAAGCCCTGCTCACCCCCTGTAGACTTTTGATCTCCGGAACTATTAGACAATGAATCTGTGTTGTTGTAGCCACTGAACTTGAGATAATTTGTCACAGCAGCAATCGGACTGACCCACCCTCAGAGCCCTTATCCAGGCCAGGCAGCCAGGGAATGTTCAGCCTTCACATGCCAGGAACAAGACCCACCAAAAACGTCCCAAACAGTTCTATGGAACAGAAAGAGGTCCTGAAGATAACCTGTGAAAGTGTTTCTGGGCTACTCAGGCTTAAATACCCTGATATTCCTGATACTTCGCATGTTTTATTCTTTTTTTATGTCTTACTTCACATGTTTTGTTCTTTTTTTATGGCAGTCATTCTATGGCATAGCCCTATCTCCTGTTCTCTTCTCAAAGCAGATATAAAAAAAGCTAGTGTCCACCTCTGGCCCAAGAGCTAAGAGAGAATGATCAAGAGGCTCAGCAACTCCACCTCACCATTTCGGGGTACCAGGAGTTGGCCCAAACAGTGGTCTCACAACTCAGTGTGGATGAGAATCACACAAAGGGCTTGTGGAAAGAGGACGTTGGCCCCTCCCCCAATTCCTGACTGTGGATATGGACTGGGTCCCAAGAATCTGTACTTCTAACAAGTTCTCAGGAGATGATGATGCTGCTGGTCCTGGGCCCACACTTGGAGAACCACCAGCCTAGAAAAAGCCCCAGGCTACCCTGCGGCCTATTAAGAAGATGGTACTCTATCTACTGTGTGAGAGAGAAAAGGTTGTGTTGGTTGCCTGGCTTGTTTCCTCAAGCATCCTAAGGGACCAGAAACTGAGGGAATGACCCATGAGCATAGTGTGAAAAGTTCCAGGAAGGGGCGCCTGGGTGGCTTGGTTGTTGGGCGTCTGCCTTCGGCTCGGGTCATGGTCACAGGGTCCTGGGGTCGAGCCCCGCATTGGGCTCCCTGCTTGGCCAGGAGCCTGCTTCTCCCTCTCCCACTCCACCTGCTTGTGTTCCCTCTCTTGCTGTCTCTCTCTCTCTCTCTCTCTGTCAAATAAATAAATAAGAATTAAAAAAAAAAAAATTCCAGGAAGTCAGGTGAAAATGCTCAGGAAGAAGAGCAAGGTGACTGGCAGAATTTATTTGCGACATCCTTGGTGACTGGCATCATTTAAGCTGAAAGTTCCCACTCACTACTTTGAAGAAAGTCACAGGAGCAGTCAGAAAAATAGGGCTTTGTCCTAAACCAAAACAAACTAATGCAAGATGAGTGAGATGTGAGGGTGACACAGGAGAGTGGCACATCCAGATGCGGGGCTGCTCTTGCAGAAAGACTGCTTCTTCAGAAGATCCACACCAACCATCTTTCTTTTTAGGTTAAGGACTGGAATCCTCATATCCTCATCCTGGAAAAGGATGAAATACTATTTCTGGGCTTATCTACTCTGATGGGAATACAGTTTCTTTATTGGGAGCAATAAGAATGTGGCATTTTAGCATAGAGGAAGGGAGGGAAAAATAAAACAAGACAAAACCAGAGAGGGAGACAAACCATAAGAGACTCTTAATCATAGGAAACAAACTGAGGGTTGCTGGAGATGCGGTAACTGGGTGATGGGCATTAAGGAGGGCTCTTGATGGAATGAGCACTGGGTGTTGTATACAACTGATGAATTACTGAACTCTACCTCTGAAACTAATAATACACTATATGTTAATTAATTGAATTTATATTTTAGAAAAGCTGGGGCGCCTGTTTGGCTCAGTTGGTTAAGTGTCTGCCTTCAGCTCAGGTCATGATCTCAGGGTCCTGGGATTGAGCCCCATGTCGGGCTCCCTGCTCAGCGGGGAGTCTGCTTCTCCCTCTCCCTCTGCCTCATTCCCCCTTCACATGCTCTGTCTCTGAAGTAAATAAATAAATAAATAAAATCTTAAAAAAATAAAATAAAATATAGTTAAAACCCATCAAAGAAAAAAAAATGTGGCATTTTAATGTGGCATTAAAGCCGGGGAAATAATTAATTACCCCTGACCTATCCTAACAATGAAATATGTCAGAATTTCTGGAGATCCGAGGCAGGGCAGAATCTCATCTAAAATGGATGGACAAAGCCAGCTGATGTCCTCAAAGACCTATCTGAGCAGCTGAACTTCCAAACTCTAATTGCTAAAAAGGCTAGATCAAGTTACTGGATCCAAAATATTTGGCTGTACCTAATTGGACTATGGTCAAGAAAATGCATCCTGGAGCTTTGCTCAATGCGCAGACAGAAGATTTCCCATGATTCTAGCTTAGCATCAGTTAGGAAAATATAGGAGAAAAAAGTCCCGAACAATAAGACTGCCAAGTGCACCTGCAGTTTTCTTAGAGAAGATAGTGTCTTTGGTTTTTCAGAACCAAGAGGGAATCTACAAGCTCTCCTTTCTCAGCCCCTTCCACTCTCGCTCACTTGTCTCAGTGCAGTTGTGGGGTTGTTAACTAGCAGGGCTGTAGGGTTTCATTCCCATGAGTGAAGACATCACAGAATGAATACCCAATTTATTTACAGTTATCATCCCAGATCCCGATGACACTCTCCAAGATTCCTTTTTGCTCTTTTTTCTCATTTTTTTGGACCACAGGTAAATCTATAATCTCACCAACAGCACAGAATTGTAGTCTTGAGGGGCTCCTGCGTGGCTCAGTCGGTTTAGTGACTGACTCTTGGTTTCCACTTGGGTCTTGATCTCAGGGTTGTGGGATCGGGCCCTGTGTTAGGCTCTGCACTTAGCTCAGAGTCTGCTTGTGATTCTCTCCCTCAGCCTCTGCCCCTCCCCACCACCAGCTTCCTCTCTCAAAATAAATAAAATAAAATAAAATAAAATAAAATAAAATAAAATAAAATAAAATACAATACAATAAAATAAAATAAAATAAAATAAAATAAACGAAACGAAACGAAAATAAAATAAAATAAAATAAAATAAAATAAATAAAATAAATAAAATAAATAAAATAAAATAAAATAAAATAAAAAATAAAATAAAATAAGAATCTTAAAAAAGGGGCACCTGGGTGGCTCAGTCGTTAAGCGTCTGCCTTCGGCTCAGGTCATGATCCCAGGGTCTTGGGATCGAGCCCCGGATCGGGCTCCCTGCTCAGTGGGAAGCCTGCTTCTCCCTTTCCCACTCCCCCTGCTTGTGTTCCTGTTCTCGCTAACTCTCTCTCTGTCAAATAAATAAATAAAATCTTTAAAAAAAAAAATCTTAAAAAAAAAACAATTGTTGTAGTAGAGAAGGACTCTGTATGAGGAGTTCAGAAGACCCATCCTTTGAGTGTCTTGCTAATAGGATTTAAAGAGCCTCTGGTCCTCTTGCCATTCATCTCCCCATCCATAAAATAAGAGGCCTGTACAATGTCTCTCAGAGAAGTAGGACTTCAGGAATATGGTTCTCTAGGTGATACTGCTTTTGGACCTCTGTGGTATGGATAGGGGAGGGGGTGGTCTCTGCACAGGAGAGTGGAGAGGTGGGGGACAGAGGCACAGGAGAATCAAAATAAGGACAATCCAGAACAGAGGGGAAGTGCACACTCCTTTCCCTTTCCATGGAAATTGTCAGTTTGGGGGAGCCAGTGTGTTCTGCTGCTCTCAGCACTGCCCACTACCATGAAAGGACGTGGCAGCCCGCTGTTCCCTTCACCCACCCAAGCCATCCTCTCCCCAACCCCATACCTCCAGCAACATCTCGAATATCCTAAAGAACCCTCACATTGCACCAGCCAGACGAAGGTGTTCTGTTTCTAAATCAAATCATGGCTGCCTTTTTACAACTTTGCCCAAAACAATAGGTAAAAAACTAAAACTTTAAAAAATTATCAACATTCTTCTATATTTTCAGATTCTGTTATTTCTCAGTATCAAAGTGTAAAGTAAGCTATTTAGTACAAATATATGAAATTACATATTTTTAGTTTAATAAACACTATTTCATCAAGAATATCAGGAAGCCTGGGGCGCCTGGGTGGCTCAGTTGGTTGGGTGACTGCCTTCGGCTCGGGTCATGATCCCGGAGTCCCGGGATCGAGTCCCGCATCAGGCTCCCTGCTCGGCAGGGAGTCTGCTTCTCCCTCTGACCCTCCTCCCTCTCATGCTCTCTGTCTCTCATTCTCTCTCTCACAAATAAATAAAATCTTAAAAAAAAAATTTTTTTTTAAAAAGAATATCAGGAAGTCTTTTTAACATTTTGATAGTCACTGGCCTATACCATATCCGTGAATATTCTTCTTGTCCAGTCTTTCTACATCTGTGATCATGTGCATGAGCTCATTACCTGGGGGAAGAGGGCAAGTACTATTATATGTAGAGATGGCCCCACATATAGCAATTCTTCCAAATTTCTTCATCTGGGGGATAACAATGTTTGAAAACTCTCCATCTACCTATACAGACAGGAAGAAAACAAAACCCACTTTAAATAATCTAAACACTAGAAGATTCAGGAGAATCAGTAAGTCACAACCATCATTTCACAAAATTTATTCTAGAAGTAAAAAAAAAAACCTGATTGAATTAGCACAGCAGTGCAGAAAATTGCAGTTGGAAAAAGGTAGGAGAGGTTGGGAATTTCTATTTGTAGGAACATACCATATATAACTTATACCTTTTACTTTATTTTGGAGTTCTCTGATCAGTTCCATTTTCATTGTCCCTATCCAAGAGCATGGAAAAAATACTCAAAAGCCACATCAAGAACAAAGTTGGAGGACTCACATTTTCCAATTTCAAAACTTACTACAAAACTGTATTAATCAAGACAGTGTGGGAACAGAAATATAGATCAATAGAACTAACTTGAACTAACTCTAAAATAAAATAAAATAAAATAAACCCTTATTTTATGGTACATTGATTTTCAACAAGACAAAACAATGCAATAGGAGGAAAAAATAGTCTTTTCAATAAATGGTGTAGAATAACTGGGTATGGAAAAGGAGGGGTATGGACCCCTTCTTAGGCAATACACAAAAATTAACTTAATTAAATGTATTGGCTAACACCATAAAACTCTTAGAAAAAACATAGGAGGGGCGCCTGGGTGCCTCAGTCAGTTAAGCGTCTGCCTTCAGCTCAGGTCATGATCCCAGGGTCCTGGGATGGAGCCCCACATTCTCCCTCTCCCTCTGCCTGCTGCTTCCCCTACTTGTATACTCTGTCAAAAATAAATAAAATCTTTTTAAAAAAAGGAAGAAACATAGGAGTAAATCTTTGTGACCTTGGATAAGGCAAGGCCTTCTTAGACATGACACCAAGCGCTCAAGCAACAGAAGGAGAAATAAATCGGCCTTCATCAAAATTTAAAACTTTTGTGCTTCACAGGGCACCATCAAGAAAGTGAAAGAAAAAAGCAAAAAAGAAAGTGAAAGACAACTCACAGAACAGAAGAAAAGAACTGCAAACCATATAGTCAATCCTCTTTATTAGTGTATTCCATATTTGAGAATGGGACTACTTGTTAACATTTATTTATAACCCCCAAATCAACACTCACAGAGCTTGCCTGCTCATTTGGAGACATGCCTAGAGCTGCAAAAGAGACACAAATTTCCCAGCTAAGGTCAGCAAAGGCCGAGGGTCTGTGTTCCTTTTTCAGCTCTCCCAGAGATTACCCGGGAGGGAAGGCAGTAGGGGGCAGTGCAGAGTAGTTCAAAAAGCTCCAGCTCCGGGGCTGGTTGGATGGGATGTGAACCCCAAATCTGGGAGAATGAGTTTGTGGGGCAGCCTCAGGCAAGCTTCTTACCACTTCTGAACCTCCTTTTCTCTTTTGAAAAATAAATAGAAGCTGTAGGAAGAGTTGTTTTTAGGATTTAAGACTGTAATCAAGGTGAAACATGTACATATGTGTGACTTGATAGAACATAACTACCAGGAATATTGAGGATTGGCTACATCCGATAAGGGGCTTATCAGAACTTTTATGAAGAACTCTTAAAACTCAACAAATAACCCAATTGAAAAATGGGCAAAAGATTTGAACAGACATATCTCCAAAGATATACAAATGAAAAGATGCTCAGTATCATTAGTAATTAGGGAAACTCAAATCAAAACCACAGTGAAATTCTACTTCAAACCCACAAGGATAGTCATAATAAAAATAATAGACCGTAAGTGTTGGTGAGGATGTAGGGAAATTGGAACCCTCATACATTGCTGGTGAGAATGTAAAATAGTGCAGCCATTTTGCAAAATTATTTGTTGGTTCCTCAAAATGTTAAATATGGAGTTTCCACATGACCCAACAATTCCATGTAGAGGTATATACCCAAGAAAAATGAAAACATATGTCCACACAAAAACTTGATCATGAATGTTTATAGCAACATTAAGCATAATAGCCAAAAAGTGAAAATTACTCAGATGCTCATCAATTGATGGATGGATAAATAAAATGTAGTATACCCATACAATGGAATATTACTTGGCCATAAAAAAGGAATGAAGCACTGAGACACATTACAACATGGATGAAACTTGAAAACATGCTAATGTATAGTGTAAGAAGCTAGTCACAAAAGACCACTTTTGGGGGTAAATGGGGAGTGACTATAATGAGTACAGCAGTTCTTTTTGGGATAATGAAATGTTCTAAAATTGATTGTGGTGATGGTTGTAGAATTCTGGGAATATACTAAAAACCACTAGGTTCAACACTTTAAAATGGGTAAATTGTATCTCAATAAGCCTGTTTTTTTTAAAGGCATATGTACTTTCTTTCCATATTTTAGGCGGAAACTTTAGAAGCATATTCTCTTGTATAGTACTTTGTTAGAAAATAAGATATTAAGTCCAATTTGTACTCACATTGTCGAAGTAACAATCATAACCATCAGGAGAGGCTTTTTTCAAAGTTTCTTCCAAAGACTCTACTGTTTTCTAGTTAAAGGCAACATCATTGGGGCGCCTGGGTGGCTCAGTCGTTAAGCGTCTGCCTTCGGCTCAGGTCATGATCCCAGGGTCCTGGGATCGAGCCCCGCATCGGGCTCCCTGCTCGGCGGGAAGTCCACTTCTCCCTCTCCCACTCCCCCTGCTTGTGTTCCCTCTCTCACTGTGTCTCTCTCTCTCAAATAAATAAATAAAATCTTTAAAAAAAAAAGTTGATTGTTTGGAGTAAAAGTGCACTCCTCAGGGGCTTGGAACAGGGGAATGAGAAGTCTACACAAATGAATAAATTACCTTCTATTTTAGGATTCAAATCTCCTACTATTTTATAGATTACTCTCTCCCCAACTAAGTCATGGGAGACTTGCTTCAAGGTTTCCTCATGTCTCCCTTCACCCCTGCCTTCTTCCACCTGGCTCACAATTTAGAGAGAAAGACAGGTGGAATAACAAGGTGGGAGGAAGAGCTCTCACTAGCAGAGGGTCTAGGGCAAGCAGGCAGGACTCGGAAGTGCTATAATTCTTTTTAGTGCCCACTTATTGAAAGTAAGGTATTAAGCATCCTCTAAATGCCAATATTGTCTCTTGGCCATGGCAATTCTGAGGAGTTCATATTCTGAGTGCAATATGAACTTGGGGTATAGGGGACTGGTTTTTGCTAGAGGCTGATTGTTTGAGGTATATATTTCCATTTCATTCTTTAGAAGTCCTTTGAGGTGTGAAAAAGAAAGAGGAAGGGAGGGAGGGGGGAAGGAAGGAAGGAAGGAAGGAAGGAAGGAAGGAAGGAAGGAAGGAAGGAAGGAAGGAAGGAAGGAAGAAATGAAAGATCATACAACTTGGAGAGAGAAAGGAAATTCATGAATTCCAGACTAAAAATGTTTTGGGGGGACTCCAACAAAAGGAATTCAATTGGGGCGCCTGGGTGGCTCAGTCGGTTAAGCGACTGCCTTCGGCTCAGGTCATGATCCTGGAGTCCCTGGATCGAGTCCCGCATCGGGCTCCCTGCTCGGCGGGGAGTCTGCTTCTCCCTCTGACCCTCCTCCCTCTCATGCTCTCTGTCTGTCATTCTCTCTCTCTCAAATAAATAAATAAAATCTTTAAAAAAAAAAAAAAAAAGAAAAAAAAAGGAATTCAATTGACCTTGCTTCTCCAGACCATAAAAGGAAACTTGAGGTCCCAAGTTCAGCTGAGACAGGATGAACTGACCCAGGAGTCTTCCTGAGGGATAAGGCCAAGGAACTCCTGAGTAGTTCAAGTCTGTGTCAAGCTGAGTGACTGTACAACCATACTTATGATTCATCTCAATTTAAATAATCTCAGATCCCTTTATACCTCAGGAAATTCAGATGTGCATAGGGAAAGGTGGGGAATGAGAGACAGTACAGAAAAGTCAAGGTAGACTGAATTCTTTTCCCCCTTTTAAACTCTGAAATGGAGGTAGAGATGAGTAAGGAGTGAAGCCAAGACACTTCCAGAGATGGAGGGAGCTGGGTCTGTCGTGTTACCATTTGCCCGCTGCTAGGGAGGGGTCATGCCCCATGCTTCTCTGCTCTGTTGCTCTCTGGACTGGAGGGTCTCTGGCCTCATTTTCCCTCTTTCCTTCAGTCCGAGGCTAACTCTAGTCCATCTTCTTCCCTTCTTAGTCCTACCATCTACTCTAACCAGCCCCTGAGCCTAGACTGTCCTAAGTTTCTTCTTGTTGACCACATTCTGAACAAACTATTTTGGAAAACCAGAATGTCAGGTATTTAAACAAATGAAATATACCCATGAAACTCACCCTGTCATGCCCACTGTTCCCAGAGCCAAAGACACCGGTACCGTGTCTGGCCACTCTGCGGGTAGCTTTTCCAGATCTTTCCCATCAGAAATAGAGTGTGTTGTCCAGCCTGAAAAAGCCACTACCACAGTTCCTGCTGGAAAGGCTGAATTTTTACTTTCCACAACTCTGAAAGATAAAGCACATTAAGACATGGGAAACCTCTTTCAAGGGAGTTGGGATGCTGCATGGGTAGTTTCCTAAAAGGGCACTGAAGTTAATATTCCATGATTAAATACCCCACCACATCTCTCCATCCCTCGCTGCTGGTTTCTCCTCCTCCTTGAGAGAAAATATGGGCCATTAGAGAAGAACTCTCTGAACTGGTTCCACATCTGTCCCTGTCCTCACCCACTTCTCTCCAGTGCAACGTGCCTTCTACTCCACTAAGGTCACAACAACTTCTGATTGCAAAATCCAGTGGACACTCTTCATTCATTATCTGATTTTACCTTTCTACTGTATTCAACACTCTGAGCTACCCAAACTTCCTCATTGGTTTCCATAATACTGACTTCACTGGGATTTTTGTCTCTTCCTCTGAGTTGCTCCTTTTCAGTCTCATTTGCTGATTTTCTTTCTCCCACCTTCTCCCACCGTTACCATTTTATACTGTCTTCCCCCTGATCATGAAGTTATATAACACATTTATTTTAGAAAATTTGATGTATGAAATAAAAATACTAGTTCTAATCCCACAATACAAAGATAACTGCTAATATTTTGGGGTGTGTTATGGCAATCTTAATGATATATTCAAAAAAGGCATATTATAAGAAGGCAAACTGGTGCAGCCACTATGGACAACAGTATGGAGATTCCTCAAAAAATTAAAAAAAGAACTACCATATGATCCAGTTAATTCCACTAGTGGGTATTTACCCAAAGAATATGAAAACACTAGTTCAAAAAGATATATGCACCCCTGTGTTCACCCCTGAATTCAAAAAGATATGTGCATCCCATTGTTTACCTGCACTATTTACAACAGACAAACTATGGAAGCAACCCAAGTGTCCACCTATAGATGAATGGATAAAGAAGATGTGGTATATAGACAATGGAATATTACTCAGCTATCAAAAAGAATGAAATCTTGCCATATGCAAGACTGGATCTAGAGGGCATAATATTAAGTGAAATAAGTCAGTCAGAGAAAGACAAATACCGTATGATCTTACTCATACGTGGAATTTTTTAAAAGATTTTAACTTAGGGGCGCCTGGGTGGCTTAGTCAGTTAAGTGTCTGCCTTTGGCTCAGGTCATGATCCCAGAGTCCTGGGATCGAGCCCTGCATTGGGCTCCCTGCTTGGCAGGGAGCCTGCTTTTCCCTCTCCCTCTGTCTGCCGCTCCCCTTTAAAAAAAAAAAGATTTTAATTTATTTATTAGAGAGAGAGCATGTGTGCGAGGGAGAGCAGGAGCAGGGGCAGAGGGAGGAGGAGAAGCAAGCTCCCTGCTGAGCAGGGAGCCCAATGTGGGGTTTGATCTGAGGACCCTGAGATCATGACCTGAGCCGAAGGCAGACACTTAACTGACTGAGCCACCCAGACGCCCTCATATGTGGAATTTAAGAAACAAAACAAACAAACAAAGAAAAAAAGAGACAAACAAAAAAACAGACCCTTAAATGAAGTGAACAAACTGGTGGTTGCCAGAGGGAAGGTGGGCCCTAGGGGGATGGGTGAAATAGGTGATGGGGATTAAGAGTACACTTACTGGTTTTTGTTTTTTTGTCTTTTTTAGATTTTATTTATTTATTTGACAGAGAGAGAGAGAGCATAAGCGGGGGGATTGGCAGGCAGAGGGAGAGGGAGAAGCAGGATCCCCACTGAGCAGGGAGCCAGATGTGGGGCTTGATCCTAGGACCCTGGGATCATGACCTGAGCTGAAGGCAAACACTTAACCAACTGAGCCACCCAGGCACCCCAAGAGTACACTTATTGTAATGAGCACTGAATAATGTATAAAATTTTTGAATCACTATATTGTATACCTGAAACTAATAACACTGTATGTTAATTATACTGGAATTAAAAAAACAAATGCATTTTTAAAAATATATATGTATTTACATAATTGAAATCACTTTGTTTTGTAACCCAGTTTTTCTCTCTCAACATTATACTAGTATATATGACTTATACTTTTTCCCATGTTAGTAAGAATCCTTTAAAACTGAAATGAATTTAGGGGTGCCTGGGTGGTTCAGTTTGTGAAGCATCTGACTCTTGATTTCAGCTCAGGTCATGATCTTAGTGTTGTAAGATCAAGCCCTGCACCGGGCTCTGTGCTGGGTGCAGAGCCTGCTTAATATTCTCTCAAGCAGACTCCACGCTGAGGGCAGAGCCAGATGCGGGGCTCAATCCCATGATCCTCAGATCACAACCTGAGCCAAAACCAAGAGTCAGACGCTCCACCAACTGGGCCACCCAGGTGCCCCCACATAAAAATTTTAAACTATGATTGGACATGGGAGAAAGATAAAGATAAACAAAGATCCAAATATTTGCAACACTAATATTCCTAACATATAAGAAGATCTTACAAATCACTATAAAAGATAAAAAGACCTAAAGGAACAAAGGAAAAGACATAAACATAATTCACAGAAGAAAACTGATGATTAATTTACGAAAAAAATGTCAACATCACTAATAATGAAAGAAATGGAAGTTAAATGGAAATATCAATGTGAATTCATCTCAGATTGCCAAGATGATAAGCAATGGGCATATAGGTATAAGGAAACAAGTTCTTTAATATGCTATTGGTAGGAGTGGATATTCATACAATCTTTTTGAAGAGAAATTTGACATCAAAACTTCAAATTAAAAATGTGCATCTGACCCTCTTCCCTCTCGTGCTCTCTGTCTCTCATTCTCTCTCTCAAATAAATAAATAAAATCTTAAAAAAAAAAAAAAAAGGGGCGCCTGGGTGGCTCAGTTGGTTAAGCGACTGCCTTCGGCTCAGGTCATGATCCTGGAGTCCCGGGATCGAGTCCCGCATCGGGCTCCCTGCTCAGCGGGGGGTCTGCTTCTCCCTCTGACCCTCTTCCCTCTCATGCTCTCTGTCTCTTTCTCTCAAATAAATAAATAAAATCTTAAAAAAAAAAAATGTGCATCTATTGGGTTGGTGATTCCAGAAGAAACAAGAGTACAGCATGAACATAGGGAAGCAAAAGAAAGCAAGAAAGTATGCTACCATGAAGCGAATGCTTAGTCTTCGAGATCAGAGGCTTAAAGAGGATAGATTAAAACCTAAAAAGAAAGAAAAGGAAGATCCCAATGCACTCAAGGAAAGAAAAGTCCCCCAACATCCTCCCTGCTTATTCTTCCAATATAACACAGAGCTGGGCCCACCTTACCACATCCTGGTTGATACCAACTTTATCAACTTTTCCATTCAAGCCAAACTTGACTTAGTACAGTCAATGATGGACTGTCTGTATGCCAAGTGTATCTCTTGTAGAACTGACTGTGTGAATGGCTCAAACTGAGAAACTGCAGCAAAAGTATTGAGTGGCTCTAAGGATTGCCAAGGAGCCAAGATCTGAACTATTACCATGCACACACAAAGGAGCCTATGCAGATGACTGCTTAGTACAGAGAGTAACTCAGCAGAAGTGTTACACTGTGGCCAAGTTGACCAAGACCTTAAAGGACGAATCCGGAAGATCCCTAGAGTTCCCATTATGTACATTTCTAACCATAGGTACAACATTGAGTGGATGCCAGATGATAATGGAGCCCCTCGGTTCTTTTTTTCTTTTTTTTATTTGACAGAGAGAGACAGCGAGAGAGGGAACACAAGCAGGGGGATTGGGAGAGGGAGAAGCAGGCTTCCCACTGAGCAGGATACAGGGCTCGATCCCAGGACCCTGGGACCACAACCTGAGCTGAAGGCAGACATCTAACGACCAAGCCACCCAGGCGCCCCTAATTCTTAAAAGATAAGAGTTCCTCTACCTTCCTTTACCAACTTTCTCTGTTGCCAGTTCATATTAGCAATATGCTATAAGCGTGAATTATTCTTACCCATTTGCTCTGTTACAAGCTGAGTATGGTTAAATACACTCACTTTTTGAAGTTGTTTTGAAATTGATATTTTGTATCATTTTAAATATTGTTGCATCTTTTTATAAATCAGATGATTGCTCATTTTAAAAAAATGTGCATCTCTCGGGCACCTGGGTGGCACAGTTGGTTAAGCATCCGACTCGAGGGGCGCCTGGGTGGCTCAGTCATTAAGCGTCTGCTTTCGGCTCAGGTCTTGATCCTGGCGTCCTGGGATCGAGCCCCACATCGGGCTCCCTGCTCAGCAGGAGGCCTGCTTCTCCCTCTCCCACTCCCCCTGCTTGTGTTTCCTCTCTCGCTGTCTCTCTGTCAAATAAATAAAAATTTTAAAAATCTTAAAAAAAAAAAAGCATCTGACTCAGTTTAGGCTCAAGTCATGACCTCATGGTGCTGAGATCGAACCCCGTGTTGGGCTCTGTGCTCAGCGTAGAGTCTGCTTAAGAATCTATCCCTCTCCCTCTGCCCCTTCCCAACCCTGTGCTCTCTCTCTTTCTAAAATAAATAAATAAATCTTTATAAATAAATAAATAAGTTAGTAAAATATGCATCTCCTTTGACCTAGAATTTATACGTTTGGGAATTTAATGTGAAGCAATATTCATCTAAGTAGGCAAATACACAGACATGCACAAAAAGAGGCATACATGTTCCTTGCAGAACTATTTGTGATAGAAAAAACTGGAAACAGTTGCTACCAGGAGTAGATTAGTTACATGGCAGGTAACAATGGGATAAATTGGCAGCCATTAAGGGGTACCTGGGTGGCTCAGTTGGTTGAGCATCTGACTTCAGCTCAGGTTGTGATTCTGGAGTCCTGGGATCGAGCCCTGTGTCAGGCTCCCTGATTCAGTGGGGAGTCTGCTTCTCCCTCTGTACCTCCCCCCTCCACTTGTGCTCTCTCTGTCTCTCTCAAATAAGTAAATAAAATCTTTGGGAGAAAAAAAAGGACTGATTTAAAAAAATCTGCAGCCACTAAAAGGTAGGTAGTATATTTACATTTTATCAACAAAAGGTATCCATAACATATTAAGTGAGAAAAAGCAATTTGTTGAAGGGCATATAATCCCATTATTTAAGAAAAATTATAAATATTAATTTGTGTACTACGCAATTTTTGAAAGAATAATACATTAACAACAGTCACCTCTAAGGTTCAGATTAAGATAAGGGAACTTTCAGTTTCCAAGATACAAATTTTTGATTTATTTGAATTTCTGCCATAGTCATAAACTGGACAATTACAATTTTTTAAGTTTAAGAGTTGCAATGATGTCAATTTCACAGGCTTCCCTCCTTTCCAATTAGTCAAGAAAGGGGCAAGATTTCCCAAGTTGCTTCTAAGATCAGTGAGTGAATCACACGGACTGAAGAAATTGTAGGGGTGATAGACAGAGGTGGACCCAGAAGGAGGTAAAGGAGAGACATATTTTTCAAGCACTGAGACACACAGAAATACCTGGCCACTTGCTGTCCCATCATCATATCACCCTCCTTCAATCTTTTGGCCGCCACTCTGAAAAAAAAAATCCATTCTTAATAAATAAGGACATCTGGGGAGGGGCCCCTGGGTGGCCCAGTTGGTTGTGCATCTGACTCTTGATTTTGACTGGGTCATCAAACCCTGCCTTTGGATTCTCTCTCTCCCTCTCCTTCTGCCCCCATCCCCACCCCTTTCTCTTGCTTGCATGCATGCACTCTCTTAAAAAGAAAAAAAAGAGCATCTGGGAAAAAACCATCTTGAGTTTCAGGCCACATGGAAAATCAATGGGAAAAGTGTGTGCTGATACATAAAGGCAAAATAATTGGGTGAAATGCAAGAGGAGAGATGTTAGAGGTAGTTCTGCTGTGACCCCAGAGAAGCATTCTGATAGCATTTTTCTGTGAAATGAATATGAGAATCTTACCATCATGCTCCATTGTGGATGAGTTTCTACCAGTAACTTTTAAAACATAACCCGACACCACTGGGTACTTGTTTCTCAAATCACTAGCTGTGATATTGTGATTTAGAGTAAGAACTAATGTATTCTGTCTACATCCCGTTTCTGGCATAGAGCTCCTAAACTCCTGGGATTTCCGAAGTGATGAGAGTGATAAAGGCATCTTTTGTTATATTAATGAGGTGATTTTTGGAAAGCACCTAAGGTTGGGGGCTGGTTGCCAGAACCAGCCACATGATTAGAGGGCTCTAACTTTCATTGCCCCCTCCCCAGACCTCCAGGAAGTGGGGAGGGGCTAGAGGTTGAATCAATTGCCAATAGTCAATGATTTAATCGATCATGCCTATGTAATGAGCCTCCATAAAACCCTAAAAGGACAGGTTCTGGGTTGGTGAACATGAGGAGAGGTGGGGAGAGTGGTGTTCTTGGGGAGGGCATGGACACTCCTTGCCCCTTCCCACATACTTTGCCCTACGCATCTCTTCCATGTGACTGTTTCCAAATCATACCCTTTTATAATAAGCCAGTAAGCTAGTGAGTAAACTGGTTTCCTGAGTTCTATGTGCTGCTCTAGCAAATTAATTGAACCCAAGGAGGGGGTCTTTGGAGCCTCGGATCTATAGCCTGTTGGTCAGAAGTAGAGGTAACAATGTGGACTTGGGATTGGCATCAGAAGTGTGGGGAGGGGCAGTCTTGTAAGACTGACACCTTCACTTGTGGGATCTACAGTTAGATAGTGTCAGAACTGAATTGTAGGACAACCAGCTGGTATTAGAGAATTGGTTGGTATTGTAGGGGGAAAAGAAAAATTTACAAATTAGAATTATTGTCACAGAATCATACCAGCCACACAAAAAGGGATGCTAGTTAACATTTGGAAACATTTTTTTACCTTAGATTTGAATTTCTATTGATCAGTTCTGAAAACAATTATTTTAAATAATGATGACTACATTATTTATCAATAGGCAAAAATTACTGAGAAGTTAGTGCCCCATAAAGGGCACTCCCTTCCCTGGATTATTTACTGAGTACAAATATTTGATTAAATTAAAAGAATACAGGTAAATGGAAGGCAAGAAAAGCTTATTTTAGTCTTACCATCTTCCTCTACCCAAATTAGTTGTCAGTAGTGAAATGGACAAATTGGATTTGGGCTTCTTTAGTCTTTTAATTTTGGGGGAGCAATGAGAGGCAAATTGTGCACATTAACGGAGCCAAGGTAATCCCTCATCAAACTTCTCAAACCTTTGCTGGCAAAGATGAGCAACCATGAATCTTAATGCTGATATTATACTGGGACAACTGGGGGAAGAGACAATCAGTTGGATATTTTAAAAGATGGACTATTTCAAAACAGGATCCAAAGCACAACACATGAATTTTTAGGAGGAAAATCATACCTCATATAAGGATCCACGGTAAGGAACAGAGCTTCCAGCAGGACCTCTATAAAATAAAGCATTCCATAGGCAATTAGAAACTCAAGGCTTGATGCCTTCCTTGACTTTGGCATTCTAAATAAGCACTCAAAATTAACATTCTAAGTAAGATTATCTTTCTGCTTCACGGTTGCCCTTCTGCGCTTGCTATTAAAGAGACAGACAACAAGAGGGGTCCAGCCCCGATTATCATCATCCTCACCATCACCATCATCATCATGTTATGTACTTAGAACTCACTCCATGCTTTACATGGATTATTTCACATGATATTCCCAACAACTATTGTTTCCATTTTACTTAGGCTTAGGTTAAGGAACTTGCTCAGGGCCACATTTGTAATCACTATGTTACAGTGCTCATATAAGATTTCACTGACAGCCCCCATTAGTATTAAAGAATATATATTTTGCTGCAGTGATCCTCATGCACACATTCTCTGGAATTTTGAACCGGACTCCTGGCTGTCAATCCCAACTTAGATGGGACTGAACTTGGCCAAGCTCTGACTGCATGCCCCTTTCTCAAATCCTGCCTTCCTACCTGAAAATACCCCATATGGTCTGCTCTACAAAGCTAATCTCCAAACACGTTACAGCGGTGCCGCTGTTTCTCTCCCCTAGATTTCCTTAGGGTTGCCTTGTCCTTCCACTTCCCCCCATGGGATGGGAGACTCCTCAACAAAGGAGGAGACTTTTTCCCTCCTGTCTGTGCACAGGATAATCTGAAATCTGCACACAGCTGCTAGGCCCTGCTTACCCCCTTGCTTACCCCATCACCAGGCTTGCCAGGACAGAGAGGAAATCCTCCCCAGCATTTGTCAAAGTCAGGAACAATGGACCATTTCAATTATGAAAGAAATCAGAGGGATCCTCCTCTCACATGACATCAAGGCTTCAAACAGAAAACCTTGAAAAAGTCTCTGTGGAAGATTGCAAAATTGTCACAAATACCTCCCATCGCTGTGTGGGGCCTCCTTGCTACTCCTCCCATCAAGAAGTCTATGTCTCCGGGGCGCCTGGGTGGCTCAGTCATTAAGCATCTGCCTTCAGCTCAGGTCATGATCCCAGAGTCCTGGGATCGAGCCCTCCATCGGGCTCCCTGCTTAGCAGGAAGGCTGCTTCTCCCTCTCCCATTCCCCCTGCTTGTGTTCCTGTTCTCGCTGTGTGTCTCTCTGTCAAATAAATAAATAAAACCTTAAAAAAAAAAAAAAAAAGAAGTCTATGTTCTCACTCCTTGAATCCGGACTTGGCTATGTGACTTGCTTTGCATATTAGCAAACATGATATAAGTAGAGGCTTGAAAAGTACTTGCCAACACCTACTGTTCTAGATCAGTGGGACCACTGCAAAGACAGAGCTCACAGCCTGCTAGAAAGGCCACCCAGAGGACTGAGACATGCACCTCTGCAGAGAGCTTGCTAACCACCAGACAAATGAGTGAGGTCCAACCTAGATTAAACGGTCAGCCCAGATGAAACCTATAGAGTTACCACCAACTTAACCCAGCCCAAATTGCTAACCCACAGAACTGTAAGCCAATAAATGATTGCTGTTAGATGTCACTGTAGTTTGATTGTTGTTTGAGGTAGTTTATTTTGCAGCAAAGGCTAACTGATAGTCTTTTCCAGCTGAAATCTTATGACTTACCTCCATTTTTTTTTCACTCTCATCACTTTTATTCAACATATTTTTTTTATTCTTATGTTAATCCCCATACATTACATCATTAGTTTTAGATGTAGTGTTCCATGATTCATTGTTTGTGCATAACACCCAGTGCTCCATGCAGAATGTGCCCTCCTCAATACCCACCACCAGGCTAACCCATCCTCCCACCCCCCTCCCCTCTAGAACCCTCAGTTTGTTTTTCAGAGTCCATCGTCTCTCAGGGTTCATCTACCCCTCCGATTTCCCCCGCTTCATTCTTCCCCTCCTGCTACATTCTTCTTCTTCTTCTTTTTTTTTTCTTAACATATATTGCATTATTTGTTTCAGAGGTACAGATCTGAGATTCAACAATCTTGCACAATTCACAGCGCTTACCAGAGCACATACCCTCCCCAGTGTCTATCACCCAGTCACCCCATCCCTCCCACCCCACCCCCCACTCCAGCAACCCTCAGTTTGTTTCCTGCGATTAAGAATTCCTCATATCGGGCGCCTGGGTGGCTCAGTTGGTTAAGCGACTGCCTTCAGCTCAGGTTATGATCCCAGGGTCCTGGGATCGAGTCCCGCATCGGGCTCCCTGCTCTGCAGGGAGCCTGCTTCTCCCTCTCCCACTCCCCCTGCTTGTGTTCCCTCTCTCGCTGTGTCTCTCTCTGTCAAATAAATAAATAAAAATCTTTAATTAAAAAAAAAAGAATTCCTCATATCAGTGAGATCATATGATACATGTCTTTCTCTGTTTGACTTATTTCGCTCAACATAATACCCGCCAGTTCCATCCACGTCATTGCAAATGGCAAGATCTCATTCCTTTTGATGGCTGCATAATATTCCATTGTATATATATACCACACCTTCTTTATCCATTCATCTGTCGATGGACATCTTGGCTCTTTCCACAGTTTGGCTGTTGTGGACATTGCTGCTATGAACATCGGGGTGCACGTACCCCTTCGGATCCCTACTTTTGTATCTTTGGGGTAAATACCCAGTAGTGCAATTGCTGGATCATATGGTAGCTCTATTTTCAACGTTTTGAGGAACCTCCATACTGTTTTCCAGAGTGGCTGCACCAGCTTGCATTCCCACCAACAGACTTACCTCCATTTTTTAAGGATGGGAGTTCAACTGTCTTTAACTCAAAGTTACTATGAGTAGGGCTGCCTTCAAAGTGCTTCTTCAGGGTCCAGCTCTTAGCATGAACCATCCTGAAGTTTCTGGAACACAGTAAACATGTAGTCAACTGCCATGACGTGACTGGATTATTATGACTTCCTAGCCCCCGCGAGGAAGCCAGGCAGCAGGGTCCACTCACCATCTACTTCTCTTCATGATCATTTAACGCCAACACATTTATTGGATATTTACTACCTTTCTATTCCTGTGCTAAGCACTTCATATGCACTATCTCATTTTACCCTCATAAATTTTAAGATAGGCATTATTATCATCGCCAGTGTACAGGGTACAAATGAGGAAACTGAGGCTTCCTCAGAAATCTCTAAGACAAGGAAAAATATTAAAACCGACATCGAAATTCTTCCCAGCCACCGCTGGGGTTTCACAAGGGCACTGGACAGCTCCGTGGTGTGTGAATATTCCGTTCCTCATCTCACATAAAGCGAATCCTGAGAGAGCGTCAAACATAAAGAACCGCATAGAAGTGCACGCACACCTTTCAGACGGATTTAACAACTTTCTAAGGCAAACAGTCTCAGCCTCCTGAACGCCCCGGCGTGGCGCTACTGCTCAGCTCAGTGGCGAGTTGACTTTGGCACTAAATGGGAAATCCAGGGTTTAAACTTGCCTCCCCAGGAAACCAAAATAGATGATTCAGACAGCCCTGAGCTTTGGGATCAGGACATTTTCTTGGACAGATCTCCCCTGCATCACGAGGGAGCCGCTCCTTCCCCACGTGTGTACCTCCAGCGGACGGGTCTGCAGTCGCTGGCAATTTCAACGGTCCCACAGCAGTGTAAGCAGAAAAGAGTTAGGGGTCCCCCGAAAAAGAAAACGGACACATAGCTTTCCGGCCACAGGAGAAGTCATTTTAGGCCGTCAGCTATTCTTGTGACCTATGCCCTACTGACTCGACTTGCCCTCGCTCCCTTCCTGCAGAACTTCCTCTAGGAGGTGTTAAAATTACAAAGGAATGCAAGAACCTCCGCAGTTCAGGATTTTAAGGAAACAAAGGGAATGCAAAAACTAATCGCTTTGACGGGGCCGATAATAGCCCAACCAAATCAGAGGCAATAAATCAATGGTAAAACTCCCAGCGCTGTTTCAAAAGCAAAGACTGATCTCACGAACGTTCTTGGGCTGTTTGAGCACTCAAACCCCGGGGGAACTGGTCAGGGAGCTGATGATGCCGACCCTTGCTGGCTCTCAAGACTTCAATCAACTAGGACCTGGACTCTGTTGATTTCGGATGACCTTTGCCCCAGTTCCATACTGAACTTTCTTTTGCGAACCCCCTCATGAATATGCACGTACCCTTAGCTTAAAACTTCCCCAATTTTGTTTTTCGGGGTGACACTACGTTGGGAAATATCCCTGGTGTTCTCCTTTACTCTTGCAAGTAAAACCCTTCCTTTTCTTATGCTTTGGCTTGGTTGTGTCTTTTGACTGGACACCCATCGAGAGGCGACCCCAGTTGGGGGTAACAGCAGTGCCCTGGACACTTTTGCATTGCAAATGGAGCGTTCCCGACGGTCGGATCCGCAGCCCGGTTTTTCTACTTGTCTCTTTTCCCAAAAAGGCAGCCAAGTGCGAATTTCGACCTCGCTGGAAGTCCAGAAGCTCCCCACCCCACCAAAGGACATGGCCTCGGGCAACCGAAGTTCAGGGAGAGTCCCACCCACCAAAAGATGTCCGGGTGCAGTGCCCCCAGGCACACTTGCCCCTGGCTCCCATCTCCTCTCCCTGCACACACCCGTGTCTAACCGAATTCCGACCCCTGTCTTTCATCTCCTACCACACTTGTTCCAGTTTTGCAGTCCTGAAAGTTTCCTGGCCAGCCGCCGCCCCGGCTAATGCAGCTATGCCGTGCACCCGAAGGCAGACAGGCCATGCCCTTCCTTCCAGCATATCCCCGAACTCTCCAAGAACAAGCAGGGTCCGGTAGGCATCGATCGGGACATCTGGCTTTCACTTTCCTCGTAGTGCAAGACTCAGAAGTTATTAAGCAAGAGGAGACGGGGGAGCAACGCGCAAACGTTCTACAATAGGGAATTCTAGGGACTCAACAGGAAAAAAGAGTGGGACGGAGATGTTTACTTACCCCAACCCGCAGGTTCCACTACCTAGACAGAGATTGTGGTTGGGGCTGTGCGGCAGTTCCCACCGCCTGCATTTAAGGCCGTCCAGGAGAGGGTGGAGTTCCCCCTCCTCCCAGGGGCGGAGCTGCGCGGGCGCGGGCGCGGGCGCGCGTGCGCGTAACTATACCTGCACCAGCTTCCTAACTAGGAACTGGGTGCAAAGATGGTGTTTGGGAGAACCAGCCGCTCAGGCAGGAAGGAGACAAATGCAAGGTCCCTGAGCAGAGCTCAGAGTTTTCTACTTTTTATTTATTTATTTGAGAGAGAGAAAGCGCGCGAGCGTGCACGCGCACGGGGCAGGGGCTGAAGGAGGGAGAGACAGAATCTCAAGCAGACTCCCCACTGAGTTCTGATCCAGCCTGGCACTAATAAGCCTAATATATTACCAGTAATTTCTAAAAATATCTAAAAATATAGCAGCAATTTACATTCCTACCATCAATGTAGTTGAGTTTTTTGTTACCTAAAGACAACATCAAAACTGGTATTATTATTGTTGTATTCACTTTTTGCCAATCTGATCAGTGCAAATATGAATTTATGCCCCCCAAGGGATGAGATCTGACTTTATTAAGATTTATACGCTTGTACCTACCTGTATCATTTAGAATGTTGTTTTTTTTTTTCCAAGTTACATAAGACTCATATTGGCTTAAAAAATAAGACATTTACTGGTTCATGTGACTGGAAAGTCCAGAAGTAGGATGGGCTTCAGGGTTGGTCTGAATCAAGATCTGGCATATTTCATCCTTACATACAAGGCTTGCTTCCCTCATGCTGACACAATGGCAGCCGTAGCTCTACTAACCTAAAGCAAAGAAAAATATCCATGTCACAAAATTCCTAGCAAGACTCCTCTACCTCTCATTGGTTGAAATGTCTCTAAACCAATCAGTGGCCAATTAAAGACTGAAAAGCTTGGGCCTGGGTTACCTAAACCAATCATGTGTCATCAGGGGTAGGATTCCGGTCTTCTCTTTGCTAGGCTTTCAATTTACAAGGCACTGAGTGAAAGATTCAGAACTCCAAGAGACAGACTTCTCAGCTTTCAACATAAAATAGCATTAAGTAATAATCAGATGTAAGCTGTATAGTATTGTCAGTTTTGCAGGAAAGCTGGTTTGTTTGGTGGCTTGAAAAGCTTTCAACAGAAGAGTTGAAAAAAATCTGGGTGTCTCTGAGAACGTATATTGGATTGTTATAGCTGCCATAACAAAATACCATAGGTTGGGTAGCTTAAACAACAGAAATTTTAAGTTTCTCATGGTTATGGAGGCTGGAAGTCCAGATTAAAGTGTTGGCAAGTTTGGCTTCTCCTGAGCCCAAGCTTCTTGGCTTGCTGATGGCCACCTTCTTTCTGTGTCCTCACGTGGTTTTCTTTGTGCACGCACATCCCTGGTATTATCTCTCTTCTTTAAGCCCCACCTAACAGTCTCCATTGAATTAGTCATCTTTTTGAAGACTGTCTCCAAATACAATCATGTCGATTAGAGCTCACCTATTCATGACCTCATTTAACTTCAATTACCTCTTTAAAGGTCATTTCTCTGGGCATCTGGATGGCTCAGTTGGTTAAGCCAACTGCCTTCAGCTCAGGTCATGATCCCAGGGTCCTGGGATCCAGCCCTACATCGGTCCCTGCTCAGCAGGGAGCCTGCTTCTCCTTCTCCCTCTGCCTCTTCCCTCTGCTTATGCTCTCTCTCTCAAATAAATAAAATATTTTTTTAAAAAAGAATTATATCAGACACTAACCAAGTGCATAGGAGGGTAGGAAGAGGGACTAAGAGGGGAAACCAGGATGAGAGAGTGACATTCCAAGACATACAGTATATTTGTCCAAAATAACATTACTAATAGTTGTTTACAGAGGTCCCATAAGTGTGACCTTTCCTAAATTTGTTCTTACCTACAAGAGGAACCCATCTCACCTATATTGGGAGATAAAATGGAACAGTGAAAAGTGCAGGGCTTTGGAGAATGTTAACTTGGATTCAAATCTCAACCCTCCTACTGACAACTCTGTGATCTTGTCTAATTGATTTCACCTCTTGAACTTCAGATCCCTTAGGCTCTGAGGAAGATAATAGTAATATTTGCTTCCCTGGACTGTTGTGAGGCTTAGAAATTAGGTACTAAGGACTCCTAGTTGGTGCTGCACCGGCCACATTTCACTGTGCTGTGGGAAGAGGCATAATCATTCTCTCTCCAAATGTAGTATCTTACATGTATTAAAGGATTCTTTCTTTCTTTCTTTTTTTTTTTTAAAGATTTTATTTATTTATTTGACAGAGAGAGAGACAGTGAGAGAGGGAACACAAGCAGAGAAGTGGGAGAGGGAGAAGCAGGCTTCCTGCTGAGCAGGGAGCCCGATGCGGGGCTTGATCCCAGGACCCTGGGATCATGACCTGAGCCGAAGGCAGACGCTTAACGACTGAGCCACCCAGGCGCCCCTAAAGGATTCTTTCAATTATGAGAATAATATTCTATCCAGTTCTATAATTATTTCACAAGCATTATCTCACCAGATCAATGCAATGGAAGTTGTAGAAAAGAAAGGAAAGAAGGTCTATTTTTAAAGTACATTGCCATAGAAAAGCATCAGAAGTAATTTCCACCAAACAGATAACAATGACTTGCTTTTAACGCTGTACACATCTGTATTATCTGAATTATTTGACGAGATACATTATCTTATTACTTGCATGATTGTATTGTTTTAAGTGAAGTGTTCCCTCAACTTGCTAGATCAGAGCTCTTTGAAACCTAAGGTCAGAGCACTGAATTGAATAAGATTTTGGCTTAGAGCTAAGTAAAGGAAAAATCTTCTTCCTTGATCCTCTAATCCATATTCTAACTGACTCTGTGTGATGATGCAACAGCCAAGATTGAGCTTTATCATCATGACAGTTCCTTTCAGTCATTAAGCCTGAGTCACAATGACTGCCTGGGAAAGAGATCCTGAGTGACCCGGCATGGTCACATCTTTTTTTTTTAAGATTTTATTTATTTATTTGAGAGAGAGAGAGCTCGTGGGAGAGAGAGCATGAGCAGGAGGGAGGGGCAGAGGGAGAGGGAGAAGCAGGCTCCCCACTGAGCATAGAGCCTGATGCAGGACTCAACACAGAGCTCCATCTCAGGACACTGCTCAGGAAGAAACCAGACACCTTTTCTCTTCTGCTGCCATCTGTAGTGAAAGGCTTTCTTCCACGGTTACAAAATGTTTATTGTACCACTGGGTAGCATCTCCACTTTCCAGGCAGGAAGAAAGACAAAGGACAAAAGATACATGTCTAGGGGTGCCCGGCTGGCTCAGTTGGTAGAGCACGTGACTCTTGATCTTGGGGTTGTGAGTTTAAGCCCCACACTGGGCTTAAAGCTTACAAAAAAAAGATGCATGTCTATTAAGTTTGTTCCTCTTCATTTTATTTTTTTATTTTATTTTTTTAAAGATTTTATTTATTTATTTCACAGAGAGAGACAGCGAGAGAGGGAACACAAGCAGGGGGAGTGGGAGAGGGAGAAGCAGGCTTCCCGCCGAGCAGGGAGCCCAATGTGGGGCTCGATCCCAGGACCCTGGGATCATGACCTGAGCCGAAGGCAGACGCTTAACGACTGAGCCACCCAGGTGCCCCTGTCCCTCTTCATTTTAACCAGGAAAACAATAACTTTCCTAAAAGCCCGACCCATTAGATTTCTGCCTATATCTTATTGACCAGAATTGTGTCTCCATCTGCAGAGGGGTCTAGAAAGCAGAGTTCTTTAACTGGGCACCCTGCTACCGTGAACAAAATTGGGATATGTATGTAGGAAAGATGAAGGGGAAAGTGGATATTGGACAGGCAATCAGCACGGTCTGCCTCTAGATATACCAAGCATGAAATCTTTTTCAAAGTCTTTATATCTGGCTCTCTGCCATTAATTGTACCTGCTTGTTACTTTGGTTACTTTGCAGTATTTCCATTAGATAGTAGAGAAAACCACAAATTCTCTGTGCCCCAAATAGAAAAGGAAATGTTGCAATTGGATGTCATCATGTGGGCCAAATATCTCAGATTAAAAAGAGGGATATAAGGGGCACCTGGGTGGCTCAGTCGTTAAGCGTCTGCCTTCGACTCAGGTCATGATCCCAGGGTCATGGGATCGAGTCCCGCATTGGGCTCCCTGTTCAGCGGGAAGCCTGGTTCTCCTTCTCGTATTCCCCCTGCTTGTGTTCCTGATCTCACTATCTCTCTCTCTCTCTGTCAAATAAATAAATAAAATATTTAAAAAAAAAAAGAGGGACAAAAGAGGGACATAGGTTGTCTTGTGTCCATGGAGCTGGACTGTGGCAAAAGCTTTCTGTCACCCTGCTAAGAAAGGTGTCATGGTTTCTTCATTGTTCATATTTGATTTTGGATCTCAGGGCCAGAGGGTTGAGTTCTTCAAACTCATAATTTATGGTGTATTATCACCACTGGTCTGCCAAAAATTCTCCGTCAATAATTTATGTGCTTAAAAAAAAGCCCCATTCCCTACTCTTCTCTTCCTGCTACTATAGACAACTGTTGTGATGTGTTTAATGTATAGTTTATCTTTTTTGTAAATGTTCTTGCACAGTGTGCACTGGGGGATATCTATTTATTTATTTTGAGATTTAAAAAAATATTTTTATTTATTTATTTGAGAGGGAGGGGAGAGAGAGAGAGAGCATGAGCGGGGGGAGGGGCCGAGGGAGAAGCAGGCCCCTGTGGGACCCAATCCCAGGACCCTGGGATCATGACCTGAGCCGAAGGCAGATGCTTAACTGACTGAGCCACCCAGGCTCCCCTGGATTCAGAGACATTTCAAATCTGTTTTAGGTTCTCATTATCATAGAATAAAATCTGACTCAAAGCTTCTTTTGTTTGCTTTAAACCAAAAGAATTTTGGGTGAGGGCAAATTATTTTTACAATGTTGTTGCTATTCAAGTCAAAGTTACTGGTGATATAGAACTCATGAATTATACAGTAACAATTTGGTTTTTTCTTATTATAACATTAAAAATAATACAAGTAGGTGTAGTATTTTTGTGACTAGGCATTTGCGGAATGAAAGGAAGGTAAATTTACTGCCACCCTGCCGTTCTGGTCAAGTTAGCAGCCTCTCTGACTTGGCAATTTTCTGTGAAAGAAACTCATTTAGGGGAATGAATAAGGAATTCATTGGTTATTATTTGGTTAACCCTAACCAAAAGGTTTTTTTTTTAACCACCCCTACCT